CACAGAAAAGCACTTAGTCTTTCATTGAATTAATTTTACATTAATTACTATAGTGAATTCATCTATAATAAATTGAGATTATCACATCTATGGTATCAACTTTGTCTACATTTTGAACCGTCTAATTTCTCATTGCCCAGAATTAGCTTCCATTACAAGTCCAATACTCACCTTGTCCAAAACAAGGTCATTTTTTCTCTCAGGTTGGTACCCGCTAAATATTATTTAATTTCCTTCTGTTCTCTGAGGGTGAAAATCGCATGAGCCTGCTTTATTTTTTCCCTCCTGTTTATGCCCTATCCAATGTATAAACAATAAAATTTTTGTTGTTTATAAATTATCCAATCTAGAGTATTTTGTAATAGTAACCTGAATGGACTAAAACAATGAGTTAGTTGCCTAGTGTATCAAGTCTACACTACTTTGCACAGCTTTTGGTGACCTCTATATCCTCACCAACTCCTAGCATATTTCACCTTCATTTCCTAAGAATTTTTTCACTGGATATAAAACCGTATGTGGAAGTTACTTTCTTTGAGTACTTTATAAAGATTTCATTCCATTGCATTCTGACTTCCTTTGTTTCCATTGACAACTTAGCTGAAAGTCAGGGTCAACTCTGTTGAAGATTATATATCTTTTTTCCTCAGCCTACTTCAAAACTTTATATCTTCATATTCTAGCATAAGTATGGTCTTCTGTGTATGTCTCTTGCCTAGGGATTGTAGTGCTTCTTGAATCTGCAGCTTGCTATCTTTCGTCAGTTTTGAAAACTTTCTCCCATTATCTGTCAAATGTTATTTCTGCCTCGTTTTCTCTCTTTCCTTTCCTTCTGGAACTCCAATTACAAATGGCAAAATTCTTCACCTTATCCCATATTTATCCTATATTATTTTCTGCATTTTCTAAACTTTTGTTTGTCTGTGCTTCAGTCTAAATATTTTACTTACTCTCTCTTCCAGTTCTAATTTCTCTTCCAGTTCACAAATTCATCTTCAGCTATGTCTATTCTGATGGTAAAACCCCATCAATTGAGTTCTCAATACACTTCTAGAATTTCCATTTTAAAATGGACTTCCAATTATTTGCCAAGATAATCAATCTCAATCTTGTCAATTAATTCCTTGAACATATTAATTATGGCTATTTTAAAGTCTGGAAACTCCAGTATGTGAATTTCTTGAGTCTGTTTCTAATGTCACTTGTTTCTGTTGGTTTTCAGTCACGTTTTGTATGTATGTTTTTTTTAATAGAAAACTAAATAATGCATATGAAAAATTCTAGAGATTTGAGCCTCTAGATAATGTTGTCTTCCTCCAGAAAGGATTTACTTTTTCTTCTGAAAGGAAGTTAGGGCCGGACACGGTGGCTCACGCCTGTAATCACAGCACTTTGGGAGGCTGAGACGGGCGGATCATGAGGTCAGGAGTTCGAGACCCACTTGACCAACATGGTGAAACACCATCTCTACTAAAAATACAAAAATTAGCTAGGCGTGGTGGTGCTTGCCTGTAATCCCACCTACTAAAGAGGCTGAGGCAAGAGAATTGCCCGAACCTGGGAGGTGGAGGTTGCATTGAGCCAAGATCATGCCACTGCACTCCAGCCTGGGCGACAGAGTGAGACTTTGTCTCAAAAAAAAAATAAATAAATAAAAATAAAAATAAAAATTCAAAAAAAAGAAAGGAAGGAAGTTAGGCTACTAGCATTAGCAATCTCAGACCACCTTAATCCAATCAGGGTTAAAGATCATTTGAATCTGGGCTTCAATTCCTGTGAGATTTGATTTATTTTTGGTTTACCTCACTTCCAGGATTTGACCTTTCATAGTTCCAGTCCAAAGTCTGGGATTTTACCAATACTCATCCCCACCCTTGGTAGCCCCGGACTCTACCTTTTGTCTCCTTATCTTTATTGACCTGTGAAAAGTGTGGCTTAGCCTGTCAGATACTCCTGTCAGAATCTACAGATATCTCTAGGGGAGATAATCAACTCCAAATGCCAGGCTTATGTCTCTGGGCTTTCCTTTGCTCCTCAATGCCTTGGTAGCCTTCCAGTTCTTCAGAATTCTGTTTCATTTTCATCCAGTGTTTTTTGGCTGTTTTCAGCATACTGGTGTGTTTGAAACAACCCATTCTACCATCATGGGATGCTAAACTCTCCTTTATCATCTGTTTTGGCTCAAGCTGCCTCATGTGTTAAGTCTATACTATACTGCATGGCTTTCAGCCCTCTCTATATCCTCACCAACCCCTGGCTATTCAAATTAGAAGACAAGCTTTGAGGTTGGAGAGTGTTTATGTTTAAACTGTGGCTTTACTTATAACTACATGGCATTGGACAAGTTATAGAGCTTTTCCACAATTAATTTATAAAATAGGGGTAGTATAATCTGTTTCACAGGGTCAGTGAGATTAAAGAATATGGGTAAAATACTTAGCACAATCCCAAAGTAATAGCAGTTAGCACTTACTGAGTATTATTGTCACTGCTAGTTCTAATAAAAATAAAACAAAAAAATGAGTCAACTTATGTCATCCATTTCTTTACTCTGGCAAAATATTTGTACACATTTTCACCTTCATAGCTTGTTCACATTATTCTTCAATTTTCTCTTTTCCTAATGCAATCCAACATATGCTTCAAGGCCCAAATGAAGTTCAACCTCCATTATGAAAAGTATTTCAAAACTTCAAAATCCATACTGATATGTACTTGCTCTAATTCCTATTCAACTTCTCAACCCATTATTTATCAACTCTTCCCTAATTTTGTTTTATGGATTGTTCCCTGGTTTTCTCTTTCCAAAACTAGATTATAAAGTGCTTACAAAAACAGCCAATATAATTTGTGTCTTTTATAGTACCCAGGATAACACCAAACATGTAAGAGGTTCTCAAAACATGTATGTGGCTCAGGATAGAAGAAAAGAGTTCCTCACATCCTATGAACATTTGAATTAATACTGCAAAGCACGTAGAATTGGGGAGAGGCACAGAGGGACTCAGGCAGAAGAAAAGGAAATAAATAAGCACAGGACAGAAAGATTTTCTAGTAAAACATTTACTTAAATCTTTACTGTAAGCATAACTTCAGCTTACCTAGTTGCGTTATTAGAAAAATAACAATTCAAAGTCCAAAGTTTTATTTTTACAATTTAATGTTTAGAATTTAACTGGAACTGGCTGGGTGTGCCAAAGCGGACGGATCACTTGAGGTCAAAAGGGAGGGGAGCACTACACACTGGGGTCAGTTGTGGGGACATAGGGGAGGGACGGTGGGGGGTGGGGAGCTGGGGAGAGATAGCAAGGGGAGAGATGCCAGATGTAGGTGATGGGGGAAAAAAAAAAAAAAGTTTGAGACCAGCCCGGTGAAACCCCGTCTCTACTAAAAATATAAAAATTAGCCGCACGTGATGGTGCACACCTATAATCCCAGCTACTCAGCAGGCCAAGGCATGAAAATCACTTGAACCCAGGAGGTGCAGTGAGCCAAGATCGTGCCACTGCACTCCAGCCTGGGTGAAACAGGAAGACTCTGTGTCAAAAAAAAAAAAAAAAAAGGCTCAGAATTTAACTGGAACTTTCTGGTTTGCCTGAGCAGGCTCTTCCTTTCATTGAGAAAACAAAAGAAAGTAAAACCTTAACTAGTTCAGGAAGTTAGCTAACAGTGATCTGTCAAAGCATACTCTCCTAAGTACTAGCCATTAAACAGTCTGTTTTACTTACATTCAAAATGAACTACTCATGAGAATGAGAACAAAATAAACATTTTAAAAATGTGCTTTTGCCTGACATGGTGGCTCACGCCAATAATTCCAGCCCTTTAAAAGGCTGAAACGGGTAGATCACTTGAGGTCAGGAGTTCAAGCCAGCCTGGCCAACATTGTGAAACCAATCTCTACTAAAAATATATTTAAAAAAAAATAAAGAAAAAGAAATAGCTAGGGTTGGTGGTGGGTGACTGTAATCCCAGCTACTCAGGAGACTGAGGCAGGAGAATCGCTTGAACCCAGGAGGCAGAGGTTGCAGTGAGCCAAGGTTGTGCCATTGCACTCCAGCCTGAGCAACAGTAAGACTCTGTCTCAAGGAATTAAAAAAAAAAAACCCCTTTAGTACAACTTTTAGGAAAAGATGTACTAAAAGGATCTTTGGTTGTAATTCTTTGAAATTTTTTGAGAATTTAATTTTTTATCATAAATACAGAAAACATACTAAATGCTTTCTTATAATACAAAAACATTAAATATCTTAACCTTTAATAAAGATTATTCCCCCAAAATTATCCCCTCTGATAATTTCTGATTCCATTTCCCACCCCACAACCTAGTATTTTATTGATAAAAAAAATTGTGCTTTGCTATTTGACATAATGAAGTCTTTAGTGATTGTAATTTAGAACAAAATTTTCCTTTTAGGAAGTGGTAGTGTCATTCAGTGTTCAACAACTGTCATATGCTAATAATGATGCTAAAATATACTCAGGATCATTTACATCTAATAAGATATAATATCTAAAAGTGGTACATTTGAGATTTGGGGTTTTTTAATTCCTGCTCAAATAGCCACATTTATAGCAGAAGCAGCTAAAATTCGGATTTTTTAACCTTAGAAGAGTAATTCAAATTCCTAAATGGAAAGATAAACACACAAGTACTTTATAGAAAAATGACTATGAACATATGTAATTTTAATTTTTTGAGGGTAAGGAGGTAAGATCTCTTTTAGATGTCACAAACAGCAGGGGTTATAAAACAATTTGGCAAAATTGTAAGACAATCAGCAAGAGGAGAGAGCATGGGAGAGTTAATTCAATATGTGAATCTATATGATCCAAAAATTGTAAATATACAACAGTTAATTTCTTAGAGGACTCTTCTGCCCTTCCCATCAGATTATAGGGAACATGACTGCATTCTTTTTTAGCAAGGTATTTTAATATGACTACATTTGCAATGTGAAGAAAGGACCTACATTTGAGATCCATGCATGACAGCTTACCCACAGCATTGTAGAGAGGCTCTCCAGTTAACTTGTCCCAGACTACAGTGGTTTCTCTCTGGTTGCTGACGCCAATAGCTTTAAAGAGAAAGTTAAACAGAAGGAAGTCAACAATTTAACAAGTAGAAAACTACTTCAGGAGAATAGCTCTGATCTTTACTTATAGACACAACTAAACATAACAAGTCAATAAAATATTTGAAACATTTGTAGTTATATTAGTTTATTTTCTTGTAGTGGCTCCAGAGGAAGTCAATACTCAATGCCAAGTGTTTCTTTTCATTTCCACATACTCATTCCAACTTTACTACTAGCACACAATGACATGGACCCAGATCAATACCCAAATAAAAGACACACTGGTTGCTTTAAGGAATGCAATAACTTTGCAAATTTGTAATACCCAATTTACTTTTCTGAACAGACCAATAATTAACTTATTCATTTGTTTACCAATTGCTACAAGAAGTTTCCCTCCCTATGTGTGTGCATTTATGTGTGTGTGTGTGTGTGTGTGTGTGTGCATGCATATCTACATTTTAAGAAAATAGCTATGGAGAAAATCCTTCATGCTGAGCATACTTATATGACGGTTTGTTAGGAATTCAGTTTTATTCATGTGTTTTAATAATATGTCACAATACATAAGAATTTAAATAAAGCATAAACATATTACATAATGACATTTACATTATATTGACTTACATAAAACAAGTACTGTATGTAGTGTAAGTTACTATAAGTAAACACTAACCCACACTATCTTATTCAATTCAGCTTGGTTGAGCTAAATTGGAGGTTTCCAGACTTGACTGTACTTTAGAATCAACTGAGGAGCCGGGCGCGGTGGCTCAAGCCTGTAATCCCAGCACTTTGGGAGGCCGAGGCGGGTGGATCACGAGGTCAAGAGATCGAGACCATCCTGGTCAACATCGTGAAACCCCGTCTCTACTAAAAATACAAAAAATTAGCTGGGCATGGTGGTGCGTGCCTGTAATCCCAGCTACTCAGGAGGCTGAGGCAGGGGAATTGCCTGAACCCAGGAGGCGGAGGTTGCGGTGAGCCGAGATCGTGCCATTGCACTCCAGCCTGGGTAACGAGAGCGAAACTCCCGTCTCAAAAAAAAAAAAAAGAATCAACTGAGGAGCTTTTAAAAAATACCAATGTCCAACCAGGTGCAGTGGCTCACGCCTGTAATTCAGGACCTTGGGAGGCTGAGGCAGGCGGATCATGAGGTCAGGGATTTGAGACCATCCTGGCCAACATAGTGAAACCCCATCTCTACTAAAAAAATTAGCTGGATGTGGTGGCGGGTGCCTGTAATCCCAGCTACCTGGGAGGCTGAGGCAGGAGAATTGCTTGAACCTGGGAGGCGGAGGTTGCACTGAGCCAAGATTGCACCACTGCACTCCAGCTGGGGCAACAGTGTGAGACTGTCTCAAAAAAAAAACAAAAAAAAACAACCAATGTCAAAGCCCTAGTAAAAACATTCCAATTTAACTGGCCTGGGAGATGGGATGTGAGTGTTGGTATGGGTCCCTAAAATTTACCCAGGTGATTCTAATGTGCATCCTGGATGGAACACACTGGTGGCTAAAGAATCCAGCTCTTGCTGGGTGCGGTGGCTCAAGCCTGTAATCCCAGCACTTTGGGAGACCGAGGCGGGTGGATCACGAGGTCAAGAGATCGAGACCATCCTGGTCAACATGGTGAAACCCCGTCTCTACTAAGAATACAAAACATTAGCTGGGCATGGTGGTGCGTGCCTGTAGTCCCAGCTGCTTGGGAGGCTGAGGCAGGAGAATTGCCTGAACCCGGGAGGCAGAAGTTGCGGTGAGCCAAGATCACGCCATTGCACTCCAGCCTGGGTAACAAGAGCGAAACTCTGTCTCAAAAAAAAAAAAAAAAAAGAATCCAGCTCTTCCAGAATTTAAGATTAGGACAGACCTTAAAGTCTGTATAACCAACAATACTTCTTAAGCTCAAATCTTCTCTAGAATCACCTGTCATGACCACCCAGACAGCACTTCTAGTAACAAGACACTCACTACATCTCTCAAGGCAGAACAATCTCTATTGGACAACTTTGGTGGGTGTTTTTTTTTTTTTTTTTTTTTTTTTTTGTAAATCCTCCTGACTGGAAAATGTAGCAAGACCCCATCTCTACAAAAAATAAAATAATTAGCCAGATGTGGTAGTGCATAACTGTAGTACTAGCCACTCAGGGGACTGAGGCAGGAGGATTGCTTGAGCCCAGGAGTTTAAGACCAGCCTGGGCAATGTTGTGAGACCAAGTCTTTATAAAAAATTTTTAAAAATTAGTCAGAGGCATGGTGCGGTGGCTCACACCTGTAACCCCAGCAATTTGGGAGGCTAAGGTGGGCAGATCACCTGAGGTCAGGAGCTCAAGACCAGCCTGGCCAACATGGCAAAACCCTGTCTCTACTAAAAATACAAAAAATTAGCAGTGGTTGCAGCATGCACCTGTAATCCCAGCTACTTGGGAGGCTGAGGCAGGAGAATCGCTTGAACCCAGAAGGCAGAGGTTGCAGTGAGCTGAGATTGTGCCACTGCCATCCAGCCTGGGTGACAAAGTGAGACTGCATCTCAGAAAAAAAAAAAAAATCCAGGTATGCTGGTGTGTTCCTTTAGTCCCAGCTACTCAGGAGGATTCCTTAAGCCCAGGAGTTCAAAACTAGCCTGGGCAACATAATGGGACCTTGTTTCTACAAAAAAATTAAAAAAACAACTGGGGGGTATGGTGGTGCACACCTGTAGTCCCAGCTACTTAGAAGGACTGCTTGAACCCAGGAGTGCAAGTTTGCAGTGAGTTATGATGGTGTCACTGAAACTCCAGTCTGGGCAACAGAGTGAGACCCTGTCTCAAAAAAAAATTCATCAATAAAACTCATTTTCTGTGTAGCTTCCACCTCCCGATCTTAGTCATATTCTTTGGAGATATATAGAATAAAGGTAATCCTTCTTCTATATGCCAGTCTTTCAAAAACTTGAAGCAGTTCTTTTATACATCAAGTCTTCTCTTCTGCTGTCTAGGCTAAACAATCCAATTTCCTTCAACTGACCCCGCCTAAACACGACATGGTTTAAAGTCCCTTTATCACCACGCCTACGAACATGCAATTATATGTCCACATCACTCAAATTGTACACCCAGAACAAAACACAATACTCTAGGAATGTTCTAAGCAGCACAGAGCTGAGGGGGATCCATCAGCTCCTTTGTTCTAATACTATTTATCCAATGCAGATTGACTTACTTTATTTAACATCTTTTCTAAAACTACCTATTGGGCGGTATGCTCACTACCTGGGTGATGGGATCTGTACCCCAAAGATAATTGAGATTCTACTCCAAAGAAATTTAGAGGTATAGAGTACAGGGAACAGATTCTCGGTAAGACAAAAATGTTTATAAAAGTAAATAAAGAAGAGAAAGGGGCCGGGCGCGGTGGCTCACACCTATAATCCCAGCACTTTGGGGGGCCGAAGTGGGTGGATCACGAGGTCAAGAGATCGAAACCATTCTGGCCAACATGGTGAAACCTCGTCTCTACTAAAAAATACAAAAATTAGCTGGGCGTGGTGGCATGTGCCTGTAATCCCAGCTATTCGGAGGCTGAAGCAGGAGAAGTGCTTGAATCCGGGAGGTGGAGGCTGCAGTGAGATCGCGCCACTGCACTCTAGCCTGGCGCCAGGCAACAAAGCAAGACTCTATCTCAAAAAAAAGAAAAAGAAGAGAAAGGAGTATGAAGGGATAAATGGGGCTGGGAATCAATGGCGACTTGGTTCTGACTGATGTAGCAACAGGAGATGGATTACCAGCACAAGTGGAGGGAAGAGCTCCAAGTAGGGCAGAAGGCTATTGCTGCCCTTGTGATGAAGGAAAGTTGGCAGGAGATCCAGATATTAAGCACAAGAACAGGAAGTTGAAGATTTAAGGCCACCGAGCCTCAACTTACTCCATGAAGCAGGAGGTAAGGTTATCTGTCAAAACGGGGTGAGAGTTTGGGGCATTATTCAGTAAAGCTCAGGCTCAGAGGCCAGATAGCTGGGATTCAAATTCCAATTCCTGTGCTTCCTAGCAGCATGACTCTGGGTCTCAGTTTTGTGTCTTGTGAAAATGAGAGAATAATAGTTCCAACTTTACAGGGTTACAGTGAGGAATCAGGGTTACAGTGAGGAGTCAATGTATATTACAACAGATGCCTGGCATACAGTAAGCACTCAATAAATGTTACCTACCGCTGCTACCATGGTCATCATTATTGAGAAGAGAGTGGAGTAACAGTTTCAGAGAATGGGACTGAGCTAAGCAGGGCAAATAAAGGAATTCTGCAGCAGCTCTATCGGAACATATTGTGAGTGTGATTTTTTGTGTGTGTGTGACAACTTTACAGCACGGGATCACAACGAACTCATGATCAACTAAAATCTCCTATTCCTCCTACTCTGTTAATTTTACCATAAATAAGCTGGCTGCTTTCTTATTCACAATCCTTAAGTCACTATTCCATGCCTCTCATGCTACCTATCTTTACTGGCTCATTCGAACTTATCTTCAGAATCTAATCTAGACCTATTTTAATCTGATTCTACAGTCACGGGTTCCTCCCTGGGCATTCCTTCCTTCTCTTCTATCTTAATTGGATTACTTCATGCCAAGTAAAATTGCTTTGCTTGCAGACAAAGTCCAGTGAAGTAGCTTTCCAGGATTATCTGCCAGCTACAAACGTGTCTTTATTATCTGTTTCTCCTACGGACACACAAGTCTTACGTGATACCTCTGAACTTTTTCAATGTTCAAGTGTCTTGTCATTCCTACCCTAAAATCCTGTTTTTTAAAGAAAACATTCCGACTGCTAGTCTCAGCACATGTGCCATTCCTAATGGTTCCTAATTTTAATTCCTTCTTTCTTAGAATAACACATTCAGGTTTTATAATTATCCACTCTACTTCATGTGCACCATTTCATATAATATGAAAGTTACATGCATAAAACGTATATTACCTGGCCTCAAAATCTTTCATTTATGGATATCATAACCATTATTATATACTGTATTGCTCTTGCATTTACCAGCTTCATACTTTACCCACATATTCTCCTCTGGGGGCACTTTTCTCTACACTGAGTGTCAGTAGTAAAATTAAACTAGTTAAAAGCTACACTCAAAATCTCTGGTTAAATTTTTCTTAAAAGTATCTCTGAAAAGTTATAATGCAGTTAAGAAAATATACCTTAGAAAAAAGAGCCTTTGAAAATACTCCAGGATGTTAATAATTGTTGTCTTGGTAGAATGATGGATGAGATGCATCATTTTTTGAAATTAAAATCATAATGTATAATTATAACACATTTTTTGGGAGAAAACTAAAAACACAGAGCAAAATAATAAGAGCTTCAGAGAAAGGTTCTCTGGCTACAAAAAGTAATACCATGTGGGACGAGAGACAAAGCTTTTTTTTTTTTTCTTTTTTTTTTTTCTTTTTTGAGACGGAGTTTCGCTCTTGTTACCCAGGCTGGAGAGCAATGGCGCAATCTCGGCTCACTGCAACCTCCGTCTCCTGGGTTCAGGCAATTCTCCTGTCTCAGCCTCCTGAGTAGCTGGGATTACAGGCATGCGCCACCATGCCCAGCTAATTTTTTGTATTTTTAGTAGAGACGGGGTTTCACCATGTTGACCAGGATGGTCTCGATCTCTTGACCTCGTGATCCACCCGCCTCGGCCTCCCAAAGTGCTGGGATTACAGGCTTGAGCCACCGCGCCCGGCAAGACAAAGCTTTTTAAAACAGGCTCTGAAGCCAGGCGCAGTGGCTCACGCCTGTAATTCCAGCACTTTGGGAGGCAGAGGTGGGTGGAGTTAGAGACTGAGGTCGGGAGTTAGAGACTAGCCTGACCAACATGGAGAAACCCCATCTTTATATGTACATACATATATAAGCAGACTCTGGAAGATGGGTACTTGAGGTTAGAAAACTTGCAAATGAGATGTAGCTGCTGGAAACATTTTGCAGAACAAGGTGCCTTCCTGAAACCCCTTGAGGTCCCTGAGAGTATGAGTCTAAGAGGTGGTAGAAATGTATGTGAATATGTTGGGTAAGACAAGGCAGTGCAGGAATGGATGTGTGGGTTTCCCTTTTCTCTAACAGGGAAATAATTGCTTTGATACAAGATAATCTAATCTCTGAGAATTTTATGTTCTTAATTTTGAAACAGTTTATGTTGTGTTTTGCTTCTATCACATGAATGGAGTTTCAGGAAGGCACCTCAACAATTCTCCTGCCTCAGCCGCCTGAGTAGCTAGGATTACAGGCGCGTGCCACCATGCCCGGCTAATTTTTTGTATTTTTAGTAGAAACAGGGTTTCACCATGTTAGGCAGGCTGGTCTTGAACTGCTGACCTCAGGCGATCCGCCCACCTTGGCCTCCCAAAGTGCTGGGATTACAGGCATGAGCCACCGTGCCAGGCCTCTCTCTCTCTCTTTCCTTTCTTCACCATTACGACTCTTTTCCTATCTAGGTCATGTCTTTCGCTGTTGCCCAGGCTGGAGTGGTGTGATCTTGGCTCACTGCAACCTCTGCCTCCTGGGTTCAAGCAAATCTCCTGCCTCAGCCATCTGAGTAGCTGGAATTACAGGTGCCCACCAACACAGCCAGCTAATTTTTGTATTTTTAGTAGAGACAGGGTTTCACCATGTTGGCCAGGCTGGTTCTGAACTCCTAACCTCAGGTGATCCACCCACCTTGGCCTCCCAAAATGCTGGGATTATAGGTGTGAGCCACCATGCCCGACCTCCTTTACAGCTTTAACAGTTTGTGATCTAGAATTCTATGCAGGCAAGCAAAAGCTTGGCCCTTGGCATTGCCAACTGCATAAATTTTCTGGGAAAAAAATTAGCACAACTGGCCTGGTATGGAGGAGCTCGTGGGATGTTCTCTTCTGTGGCCAGAGGGTGGTAGCTGTAGAGATGGAAGTGCTGGGTCACTTTGGCTCAGATGTGGGCTTCACACTGGCCAGACACAGAGGAGTATAGAGAAGCTGCCTGTTCAATTCTTAGACCAGGTAGTGCAAGTGGAAGACAAGTCACTTGGGCTGGAGTTGTGCGTCATCTTCACATAAACCGTAAAAACAAGAGAAAAAGGAATAGCACCCAATGGGGTCCAGAAAGCTAACACACCACAGCCTAGGTTACCTGTAAGGGAGGTAGAATGATGTCAAAGCCATGGTCAGTCACCCTGGACTCTACATTCTAAACATGGCTTTAAGCTGCCTGGATTACCTGTCTTTGGTAATTTTGAGAAGAGTGTGCTACTGAATGCCTATTATTTGTTTGCACTGCTTAGACTGTGAGAACTGCAAGAACAGCTCAAAGAAATGATCAACAACAATCACTAATGCACAACTCATCTAAAGTTCAGTATTGCAACCCTAAAGCAAGTTTGAAGCCCTTCCACTTAGATGTAGGGATAAAAGGAGGAAAGGTTTAATACGTGCATGATATTAAAAGTTGTTGATAAAATATCAAATTGTGCTTTAAAAAAATCTGCAATAGGCTGGGCGTGGTGACTCAAGCCTGTAATCCCAGCACTTTGGGAGGGCGAGGTGGGCAGATCACAAGGTCAGGAGTTTGAGACCAGCCTGACCAATATGGTGAAACGCTGTCTCTACTAAAAATATGAAAATTAGCCAGGCGTGGTGGCACTCGCCTGTAGTCCCAGCTACTTGGGAGGCTGAGAAAGAGAATTGCCTGAACTTGGAAGGCAGAGTTTGCAGTGAGCCAAGATCACACCACTGCACTCCAGCCTGGGCAACGGAGCAAGACTCCATCTCAAAAAAAAAAAAAAAAAAAAAATCTGCAATGACAGAAATAACTCTATTACTGTTATGCATTTCCATTTATTTGTGATTATCAGAGTAACATGTTTTCCATGCTTGAGCATTAGCTCCATTGTATCCTTATCACTTCCAGCACATAGTAGGACTCTGTGGATTTGTAGTCTTTTTTTAAAGTGAGTTTTAATTTATACAAATAGGGGAAAGGCTCAGGAGTTATGGTAAGTATCAAAGCCAAGATGATGGCAATCAAGGCACCACCACCAATTGATGGTTGCTCTATCTATAGCCAAACTACCTAAAGAGGAAAAAAACAGCCCTTGAATGGTGAACTTGAAAATTATAGGCTATAAAGTAGATACCAAGCTTCCACATTATGCTTCCACCTTTTATGCTCTTATATCAATCTTGGGTGGCTAGATTTTCTTTTTCCTATAAGAATGATGGAAGGCCAAATGTAGATATTCAATTAAAACTACTAGGACTTCACAGAGAAATCTGTAACAATCTAACACCCTCAAGCAATTATTTCAGGGAAATTTTACAAGTGAAGAGTTTGGATTCCAAATACTCCTTCCCACAACATACTCCTTCCTCTAGTCTTTCTCTTCTTAGTGAAAGGCATCCTCATCTATCCAGGAGCTCTGGCAAAAACCCAAGAATCGCCTTTAACCAATCTTTTCTCTTAACCCCGCTACTCTCTCTGATACCCCAACATCCATTCTATCAGCAAATTCTGTCCCTTTCTCTCCACTTCCATTGTTACCATCATAGATCAAGCCACTATCTTCTCTAGGACTTCCATAGCAGCCTCCACACTGGTCTCTCTGTATCCACACTTATGCCTTTACCCTCCACTCTCCACACAGCAACCAGAAAGTTGCCTTTATACTGCAAGTCATCCCTTGTGGCCTTACTTACCTTTTTCATGGCTCCCTATGATACTAAGAATAATATCCAAAATCCTAAATATGGCTGATGAGGCCCAACCCACTTCCCCAATTTGATCTCCTACCAAAACCCTCTACCCACTCTCACTGCTCAACATTTTTAGTTTTCTTTTGACACGCTGGCCTTCTTTCCAACCCGGAAATGTCCCAGGCTTATTCCTACTTCAGAGACTTTGCATGTGCTACATCCTTTTCCTCAAACACTCTTCTAGACACTTGCATGGCTGACCCCTTTTGCCCTTTGAGATCTCAGCAAAAGTGTCACATCCTAAGAAAGGCTTTTCCTGGCCACCTAATCTAAAGCAAGCCCTTCTACACACAACCCACCATACCACTTGGTTTTCAGTTTTTGGATGGAACTTTTTAGTATTTGAAATTATATTTGTCTGCTCTTATTATCTTGTCCCCATCCAAATAAAGGCTCCATGAGGAAAACAACTTAAATCTTCCCGTTTAGCATTGTATCCTCAAGTTCTCACAGAAATGCTTGGCACTGAATAGGCACTCAATTATAAGCTGAAAGAATAAATTAATGAATTTGATTAAGTAAGTCATACCATGTGGGTAAAATATTTTATTAAAATACCTTTTATGTTGGAAATATCAATATTGAGCTGTCCAAGTTTCTCACATGTTTTCTCTATACACTCATAGACAGAATGTAGAATTTCCTTAGGGTCCTGTTCCACCCATCTTTGAACAAAAGAAGGCATTTGGTTAGTCAGTAAGAAAGCAAAACAAATGTAACTTTTTTCTATAGAAATGTTAACTTATGAGGGTGTGGCTAATGCATACATTAAAGTAAATCAGATAAGCAAATTACATTCCACATTTTAAAGAAATGATTTCAAGAAAAGCCTATTTCCTTACAATTTTATTATTCTCCACATAGTAATTAATCATTTAAGGAGGCCACTAATAGCAAGCCACAAACAGAAAATATCTACCTATTTTAAAATTATTTTTCCAAGTCCAATAAGAAATTAGTTCCCCTTCTTTCTATCCTGTGGATTTAATTAATTTTGATTAACTATCTGCATGTTTCACTAACCACTGGTTATTTCTAAGTAGACAGAAATATATTTATTATTCTTGAGAAAAATATATTTGGGAAGCAAAAGGAATTCTGAAAAGTCAAATAAGTATACTATTCCTTTTTGCTACTTTTTCCCAAAATGTTTTGCTGGAATTTAGAGGAAAATCTAAAACTTCTTCTAACTATTTCATGTAGAAAAGTGCTCCAAGTTCTCAGACCTAATCTCAGTACAATTTTGGTAAGGTACCAGGGCCTCAGAAGGACGAAAGGCTAATTGTAAATTAGAAGGGTGAGAAGCCTAGGAGAAATATGGTAATTTGAGAAAGTCCAAAAGTGGAAATACTGCAAACTAAAATGATTCTACCTTAGGATACGAAAGTTGCAAGGGAATTCCAACTGCCTTTCTTCTCTTTCTTAGGCCTACCTAAATGCTTCCCTTTCCTGGGCTTTGAATTCTGTCCCTAACATCTTTTTTTTTTTCTTTTGAGACAGAGTCTCCCTCTTACCCAGGCTGGAGTGCAGTGGTGACATATTGGCTCACCACAACCTCCACCTCCTGGGTTCCAGTGATTGTCCTGCCTCAGCCTCCTGAGTAGCTGGGATTACAGGCATGTGCCACCATGCCCAGCTAATTTTTGTATTTTTAGTAGCGATGGGGGCTTCATGTTGGTCAGGCTGGTCTCGAACTCCTGACCTCGTGATCCGCCCATGGCAGCCTCCTAAAGTACTGGGATTACAGGCATGAGCCACCGCACCTGGCCAGTCTCTAACTTCTTTTTGAAAACCCAGTCTCCTTCTGTGTATTTATAATTTTCATCTAGCCAAGACTCAGGTATCCTCTTTACAAATTGCACTGGGCTCAGGCTTGTGGACGGTCATACTAATGCTGCTAACGTATCAATAACTTGTATTATTAAACAAGGGAACTATAAAATTGAACATTTTTTCACATGAAGAAGACAATACAATTTGGTAAGACGTCAATTTTTTTCTCTATTTCTTAAATTGAAGTAAACTTTACAGTAAAATGCACAGATCTAAGCGCACAATTTGCTGAGTTCTGACAAATGGAAATACCCATCTAATCAACACCCTAGTCAAGATACAAAATATTTCCAGCATCCCAGAAAGTTCTTTCATGCCCCTTTCAAGTGAATCACACACACACCTCACAGACAACGACTTTTCTGATTCCTATCATCTTAGATTAGTTTAGACTACTATTAAATTTCAGATAAGGCCAGTCCCACCTGTAATCCCAGCACTTTGGGAGGCCGAAGTGGGTGGATCATGAGGTCAGGAGTTCAAGACCAGCCTGGCCAATATGGTGAAACCCCATCTCTACTAAAAATACAAAAATTAGCTGGGTGTGGTGGCGTGCACCTGTAATCCCAGCTGCTCGGGAGGCTGAGGAAGGAGAATCGCTTGAACTTGGGAGGCATAGGTCGCAGTCAGCTGAGATCGCACCACTGCACTCCAGCCTGGGTGACAGAGCAAGACTCCGTCTCAAAAAAAAAAAAAAATTCAGATAAATGGAGTCATGCAGTATATACTCTTTTGTATCCAACTTTTTCATTTTCCATAATTCCAGTGATATTCTCTCATATTGTTGCAAGTATCTGTTAACTTTTTTTAAATTACTAAAATGGTATTCCATTTTTATCCATTGTACTGATGACAGACATTTGGGTTGTTTCCAGTTTGGGGCTACTTTTAATAAAGGAGCTAAAAAAAAAAATAAAAAATAAAAATAAAGGAGCTATAAACATTCATGTGCAAGTCTTTCAATGGACATATGCTTTTATCCTCTTGGGTAAATTCCTAAGAGTGAAATGCTGCAGGTGTATGGTTAGCTTTGCAAGAAACTGCAACAGTTTTTCCAATGTGGTTATTATCATAAACATCATTAAATTTTAAATAATATACTTAACATTGTATTTAATCACAATTATTATATATGAATACTATTCCCAAAAATGTGATTTTAGTATTAGATGATAAGATATGTGAATATTTTTTAAAAAACAGATACCTTTATTTCTTTTTTTTTTCTTTTTTACTGTTTGGGGTCCAGTACAGATACCTTTATTATAAAACAAACCTGACACTCAAATCAGCAAAGCAGCATTTTTGCAACAATAAGAACACAGAACTAAATGACTTCAAAGTTAATACTTTTGCCTTATTACTTTATTATTCCTTGCTTGTATGTAACTGAATTCCTAAGCCATCAATTCATCACATGTAAGACATAGCAAGTTATTGCATATTTTCTTAACTAATAACAACCTCTCAAATCTTTTCAGGAGGGTATCTGGTCAAGTTTACTTAACAAATCCACAGGGCAAGTCAGGTGAGATGGACTAACAAACATGTGTCTTTACATATTAAATTAGGAAACATACCCTTCTCTTGGAAACTCTTGTTTTATTTCCACTTGATGATGACTAAGTAGTTCAGCTGTTTTTGAATTGAAAACCTGAAAAAGATATTACAATGTTAATGTAAAAATGCAGGCAGATATCAAAGATGTTTAAAATTATTCAGTAACTAAAGTTCTTGTTCACTGGTGGAAAAGTCCAATGAGATGAAATGCTATACACGATGTTCGACTTCATTTTCATATGGAATCATAAAAGATATAAGTCAGCATCAGAAATAACTTCTCTTTAGGTAAAAAGAAACCTATTGAAGACAAAGGTAAATTAAGAGGCAATTCCCTATTCCTTACAAAACCAAAATGGTTCTCTAGTTGTAGGAAATTTAACACATTAATTAACAGTATGGATTTCTTTTACAGAATAGGGAACCAAGAATAATAAAAGAGAGCTGATACAGTGATATAATAGCAATGGTATAAAGTTCCACTCCTTGTTTATCCTGGAGGTGGAGACAGAAAGGGTCACAGATGCTCAGACACATAAATGTGTACTGTGCAGATTCTTTTGAAGGGAAGTGCGGCTATGCATCTAGCTCTTATAAAGGGGAAATAGAAAGCCAGACGCAGTGGCTCACACCTGTAACCCCAAGGCTTTGGGAAATCACAGCAGGCATATCACCTCAGGTCAGCAGTTCGAGACCAGACTGGCTAACTTGGTGGAACCCCGTCTCTACTAAAAATACAAAAAATTAGCTGGATGTGGTGGCACATTTCTGTAATCCCAGCTACTCGGGAGGCTGAGGAAGGAGAATCACTTGAACCTGGGAGGCAGAGGTTGCAGTGAGCCAAGATCATGCCATTGCATCCAGCCTGGGCAACAAGAGTGAGACTTTGTCTCAAAAAAAAAGGGGGGAGCCAGAGTCCTGTTAGTAGAGGAATAAGTATATACTTGGCCCCATCCAGCTAAGTATCTCTGTGACATGCCTGTCATAAATTGCTGACCCTTGATATAAAACATTAAAACCAATGGATGAAAACTAACAAAGTGCTATCTGGTCAGTGCTAAAAATCCTCTAGAATTTTAGCACTACTAAAGTAACACTTTTTAAAATGTAGCAAGTTTTTCACATATATTTTTTCCATGTTGTAGTATCTATATTTGAGTGTCAAATTACTTAATCTTACAAAGTAAGATGCATATTTTGATTAAAATTAACTTCCAAAATCACGGTGATTACAGCAGTGAAGTCACTTCCAATTAGTAAACTGTTTCCATACCTAGGTTTCCTGTGGGAGAAAATTACCTGTTCAATGCAAATTCAGAAATGAAAAAGCATTGAGTCTGTGACTTGTTGCCTCCCTCCATTTACATCACACATACCCTCTTCCCCCTTTTCTGGAGGAAAAATAAACATAATGAAAGCAAGAGGGCAAACTCTGAAGTCCTTCGAGGAGATAAAATATCTTGCAAGTCAAAGGTTAACTTGACACATCATACATCATACACAATGTGATAGCCCTCTGATTTACAACGTAGCATTAGGGTATGTCTCTAGGAGGCCAGTTCCATTTGCCCTGTTTTATTCACTGAAGTATCTCTAGGCGCTAGAATAGTGCCAGGCCCAGAGTTGGTACTCAATAAGTATTTGCTGAATGTGCAAAAAATATGGTCTATTACATGTACTTATTCAGACAAAAATTATCAAATAAAATGAGAAACATGCAGAAAAACTACTATAATAGGAAACTCCAGCTGTATCACTTTTATTCATATTACTGTTGCTCCCCTGCTACTCTCAAATCCCTAAAGGACTCTAGGTTACAAAACAAGGTGTTGGCTCACACCTGTAATCCCAGGACTTTGGGAGGCTGAAGTGGGTGGATCACATGAGGTCAGTTCAAGACGAACTGGGCCAACATGGCAAAACCTCAGCTCTACTAAAAATACAAAAATTTGTTGGACGTGGTGGTGCACACCTGTAATCTCAGCTACTCAGGAGGCTGAGGCAGAAGAATTGCTTGAACCCGGGAGGTGGAGGTTGCAGTGAGCTGAGATCATGCCATTGCACTCCAGACTGGGACACAAGAGTGAAACTCCATCTCGAAAAAAAAAAAAAAAAAAAGAAAGAAAGAAACAAGGTGTCACTTTTTGCTGGCTGGATTCATAAAAACCTCAATAGCAGACCTATGGGGCTCTTAATGGAGTGAGACCCCTCTTCCATCACCTCCTAGTTTTAACTAGGGCAACGTCAAGGCCCTTACGCTAAAAATGAATTTATAGATCTTTGGAAGACACACAGAAAGGGAAAGATTTTGGTAAATTCTACTTACTCTATTAGACCATAAAGCTTTCCAATCAAACAACATTAGGACGTACCAGGATGGAGCCTAGACCTCCCTACTTCATTAAAGCTCTGAAACTTAGGAGACCAATGTTACCTTTAGGTGTTTAGAATCTGACCCTGTGCACCACTCTCAAGTTTGTGGGATACGTTTTGGATTTAATATTTTTTGGAATCTGCAATGTTTTTATATATATTTTCTTGAGACACAGTCTTGCTCTGTTGCCCAGGCTGGAGTGCAGTGGTACAATCTCAGCTCACTACAACCTCTGCCTCCTGGGTTCAATCAATTCTCCTGCCTCAGCCTCCTGAATAGCTAGGACTACAGGCGTCCACCACCACGCCCGGCTAGTTTTTGTATTTTTAGTGGAGATGGGGTTTCGCCATGTTGGCCAGGCTGGTCTTAAACTCCTGACCTCATAGGATCCACCCACCTCGGCCTCCCAAAGTGTTGGGATTACAGGGTTGAGCCATTGCACTCGGCCTGAAATGTTTTTTAGTGTTGCCTGTCCAATAAAAATATAACCCAAACCAAAAATGTAAGTCATATACTAATTTTTTTTTTTTTTTTTTTTGAGACGGAGTTTCACTCATGTTACCCAGGCTGGAGTGCAATGGCGCGATCTCGGCTCACCGCAACCTCCGCCTCCTGGGTTCAGGCAATTCTCCTGCCTCAGCCTCCTGAGTAGCTGGGATTACAGGCATGCGCCACCATGCCCAGCTAATTTTTTTGTCGTTTTTTAGTAGAGACGGGGTTTCACCATGTTGACCAGGATGGTCTCGATCTCTTGACCTCGTGATCCACCCGCCCCGGACTCCCAAAGTGCTGGGATTACAGGCGTGAGCCACCGCGCCCGGCGTCATATACTAATTTTAAATTTTCTCATTAAAAAAGTAAAAAGAAACATGGAATTAATTTATGACACATTTAAGCCAATATATCTATAAATTATTGTTTTGGCATGATAATTATAAAATATTAATGATTTTTTACTAAGTCTTTGAAATCTGGTATATATTTTATACTTACAGTCCACTCAATTCAGCATAGCCACATTTAAAGTAATCAGTAGTCACATGTGGCCCGAGGCTATTGTACTGTACATGAAGTCCTAGAGTACTTTCTTCCTCATATATCTAGATTTACATGAAGCCCTCTGGTCATTTGTTTGTCTGCAGATAGACAAATGTATAAAGAAGGCTAATGATGTTTCCACAAGACTCTATGGTGGAGGATAATTAACTCCACATTAGAACACAGTGCCCAGAGGCAAGAATGCTAGTTTTTTTTTCAAGTAAATTTCAGAAATCATTGCCAATTAAAGATAGCAGTGGCTGTACCATTTGCTTTATAAAATGTCTAGCATGATCATTTTTTGGGGGGGTGGATTTGTTTATTTGAGACAGGGTCTGGCTCTGTCACCCAGGCCAAAATACAGTGGCGTAATCTTAGCTCACTGTAACCTCTGCCTCACATAGGGCTGTCAGCGCTATGAAGAGGAGAAAGGACATGTAACCCAGAATTATGGGGGTCCGAGGAGGGGTCTCAGAAGTGGTAACTTCTAAACTAAGACTTCAGGTTGAACAGAAGGGAGTCCATGTGGGACAGTGGGCATAGGAGTGCAGGGTGTACAGGTGGGCGAAGGTGCATAGTACTTGCTGATGAGAAAGGATTAGAGGGAGGCCAGGCTGTGACAGAAAGAGCAGCTGCAATGTGTCTGCAGTCCAGATGAGACATACAGGGGCCGCCACTAGGAGGTCAGCTGCGATGGGGTTGAGAGAAGTGAAGTGCAAGTGCAGAGAGATATTAATTCAGGAGGTACAAGCAGGAGAAAGGGCAACACTCAGGGATAACAAGCTACACGTCAGCGCAATTGAGTAGGCAGTGTTTCCCAGGCAAGGGATAGGGTGGGAACAATAGCTTCAGGACAGGAACGCATAGGAGATTACAAATTGTGTGTTTGAAGTGTTGCTTGGGCAAAGAAGTGGAGACATCGAGTAATCAGTTGCTTCTATTTTAGGTCGTAAGCTTAAAGAAAAAGATCCGTTCCCAGACTTTTGTGTGGGCCAGAAAGGTAGATGAGAACGTTATGCTTTATGTGATGTGGAGGCAAAGAGCACATACAGACCCCAGAAGCACAGAGAGCTAGGGGACATTGAGCTCCAGCCCTGCCCACATCAGCTATTTGACATTTTTTTTTCTCAGCCTCTATTTTTCCATTTGTAAAAGGATAATACAATAATTTCTGAAGAGCATTTAGCACAGAACAGGCACAGTATACATCCAAAAGCTGTTAACACTAAGATTGTTACTACTACCGCTACTATTTTTATAATTACTATTATGACAATTACTACTCCCACCACCACTAATGGATGACAGAATAAGGATTAGAAATCACTAATTCTGAATCACGAATATAGGAAGCCAGTCTTATATTCATCTCTAAACCCAAATCATGTCTCAATTCCCGATTCTGTTTTGGGGGAAGGGCAATTTAAAAAGGAAGAAACAAGGAAAGTGCACATAGGATGAGAATTTAGCTCAGTGCAGACACAGTAAACACCCAAAAGATGTAACCACCACTGTCACTGCTGCTACTACTGCCATATCATTATTATTACTATTACCTATAAGTGGTGGTATCACAATTGGAAGTCACCAGGTCTATATTCAGCTCTATGCCCAAACTATGACTCAATTCCAGATTTGAAGGAGCAGAATAATTTAAAACTGAAAAAACAAGAAAATTTGTT